GAAAAATTTTTGTTTTTTCTCAGTAGAAGAAACATATTCTTTCTTTGCAAATGTTGACTGCTTCGGATTAATACTGCGTGTAGCGTATTTTATTTTTGGAAAAAGATTTAATCAAAAACTTGAGTATTTTTTCTCGTCATTAGCATTCGTTCACTGATATTTATATTCTTTCCTTTGTAGTTATGTGAAAGTTTATCTGAGATTTTGAAAACTTACAGAATTAATAATTGGTTTGGAAGTATTTGAATGTTTATTTTTCTTGTTTAAAAAATTCAGATTTAAAAATTTTAAAATCATAGTCGTAAATTTACTTCAAAGAAAAAGAAAAACAAACAACAAAAGTCAAATGAGAAGCCTATTTGCTGTTTGTAACAAACAGCAAATAAGACCGGTCATTAGGTTTCATCTATTAAATATTACTTAATTTGACATGACTTGTTGCTTTGCTAACAACAAATATGTTGAATGTATATATCACGACAGATGCATTCATTAGATTAGTAATAAACAAAATCACAAAACGATGATTCACATCGTCTACATCAACTACTCAATTGTACTGAATATATATGATGATTTTATAAGTTTCGTTTTCTTAACATAGTCTTTCACAGTAGTGACCAATGAAAAATAAGCAAAATACATGACTTTTTTTCAAACATTTGTTGTTTCAATTTATACTTATATTACTAATATATTGTCTGTGACTCTGTTTACTTTCAAAATTTCATCTATCAATAAAGAAAAATCATATGGGTTATTATAATTATAACAAAAAATTGATTTGTTCTTCATGCATTTTTGGTTTTTTTACAATTATGTAAAATTACACGAAACAAATTTATTGTAATTTTACCAATAATTTCTCGTTATTGATAGCTAAAATATCCAAAATAAACAGAGTTACAAACTATATATTGGTAATAAAAATATGAATCAGAACAACAATAGTCAAGAGAAATAATCTATAACATTAGAGTTTATGTTTACTTTTCACAAGATAATAGATCAATGTGGAATTCAATCTCGACATATTCTATGTTGAGAATTGAAGATTTCAATATCTTATAATCATAAAAAAATGCTATTTTATTTACAAGATATTACATGTTGATCCAGATTGATCATGCATTCGAATCCTAACAAGCAATTATTAATCTGTATGAAATCTATCTTTTTTTCTGTTGGATAAACATTCTTAAAAATTCGAATTTCAATCAAAAAACATAGAGATATTAAATTTTCAAGTAACCCTGATTTTTGTGACAAGCAACTATTTTTTAGCAAAAGAATATTCTTTTCGGTTGAAATTTTCAAAAGGATAATCAGACCTTTCAAAGCACGAAAATTCCAGATAAAAAATTTCATTATTTAATTTTTCAGTAAATACATAAAAATGATTCGAAAATTCAGTGAAATAGCGATAACTTAACTCCAAGAATATATGAAGACAGGACGACTTCCCTCATCAGAAAAGTATCTTCATCAAACTTCGAGAAGTTTTGTCCTAAAGAATTTCATTAATAAAATTCAATATGATTATCATTTTTCATGATATTATATTAATCTCATATTTCTTGAATTAGAAAACAAGACGAATATTCAATTTAATACTTTGTGACATTTAATACAATAAATAGCGACGAGATCCATATGACATGAAAGACAAAAAAAATATTGATCTCGGCATCGAAAATTTCCATTAATTAATAGTTTTTGACAAGCATTACATACAAAACAAGATTTATGATATAATTTTCTATCATATTGTATACATTTATCACCTAATAAACAATAGTTAAGTGCATAAAAAAAGAAAGAGATTTATCTTAATGAAAAATTTTCTACCCGGCTCTAATGATCGATTACATCGATAACATCGTTCAGCAAATTCATCAATAAAACAATAACGACAATATAATTTTTCATTTCGAAAAGCAAATTTCTTATTTATTAAAGATAAATTACAAATAGAACAATTAAAACATGTATTATGCCAAGTTTTATCTTTAAATATACTTCCCTAAACTATGAAAATGAAAAACAAAAATATCTATATATATTTAATATAGATTTTTACTTGCATTTCAATACCAATTATTTGATTACATTGAAAACAATGATTAGAATATTTTTCTTCGAAACAAAATAAACAAATAGCAAAAGTATCTTTAATTACATAACGATTATTTAATAGATTCTTTTCACAATACCAACATACAAATGAATCTGAACTATTTTTAATCATAATAAAATTATATATTAAATATGCGCTAAAATTATTTTATCTTAATAAGATATTTACAAAAGAAAAATAATCATTTGATGTTAATCAAATTGTAATCAAATTACTACAGGCTAATTGCTTGTTATGATCTTCATGAATGTTTAACATACTGTATTTGAATGATCAGACAATATAGAGTATTTCATAAGTTCTAAGTCTCTACGAATATTAGTTTATATATAAACAAAGATTGACTTCAATCAACGATATTTATATGAGCTTTGAGTACTTAGAAGGATGTTTTAAATGGCATTATCTCTTTTAATAATTTAAAAAAAAAACAAATTATCTCATTTAAAACATCCTTCTAAGCACTCAAAGTTCATACAGATATAATTAGGTAGGGATCACTCTTTGTTTCCGTATATCAAATAATTTTGATCGAAGCTCAGAACCTATGAAACACATTTTAGAGATGGGATCGGTTCGTAGTTTTTTGGAACCGAACCAATTGCATCTCTATGGTGTGAATCTATTCCGGCATAATTCTTCAATAGATTTCACTCTTCGTTTAGAATATACAAGTTGTCCGGAAAGTTATGATCAATTTATAAATACCTATAATTCTATTGCTGATCAAGCTTAACCAAAAGCTGTTTCCATTTGAAAAAAAAAGATTAGTAAGTTTTTATTTCTAAAGACGACGCTCATCAATACTATCAAATTTTGTAGTTTTAATTGCAATTCGAAAATTAGACTGTTTTCGATCTTTTAAAAAAAATAAAGGTATCATCTATATTGATATCTACATGAATTTTTATTTTATTAACAGTTGATCTGATATACAGGGTAGTTCAAAAGTCACTTTACCGAAAAACAATTGAATATCTTTTTTATGGCTTGAGCAAATGACCTGATTTTATGTACGATGAAGAAAAGCCAATTTATCAAGATAAATGATATTAATTATGTAACCCTTTTTCTAAGCTCATGTTTTTGTAGATGCCGGGATTCAGGAGAAAAGAACAAAGAATTTCACAAAACAAACGTAGACAAAGCTAATAAATGAATATGATGAAAAGTATATAAGGAAAAACGATTTAAATTGGGTGACGTATCATCAATATGGACTATGGCAGGAAAGAAAGATATGTGAATACACGATATTCGAAAGATCATTTGATTATTTAAATTTCATATTGATAAATTGATTGTTCTTCATCATGCACAAAATGAGTTCATTTGCTCGAGCCATAAAAAAGATATTCAATTGTTTTTCGTTAAAGTGACTTTGGATTCATCCTTGTGTATACATTCTTCAATGAAAAAAGTACGAGAGCCTATTGTGTTAATACGATGAGCTCTTGAATGATGATCTTACGTAACCGTTTCCACGGTTATCAAAGTCTCCGATGATATATGAACAATCTATTTTGAATAAATATACGAATCAATTGATCATTTTAAATTAAGTTAAGAAAATCATTGCAGAGTAATAATTTATATGATCATAAGTTTATGATAGCCATAGAACTTTGCGTAGATTTCGATCCCTATGTTTTTCCATAGATATAAGAGGAAAAAATTCAATTTTTATATGATAGTCAAAACTGTGATCTTTGCTACAGTTTTGATGAATGCCATCTTTAGGAATAAAATCGGAGTAGTCTGTTGGATTTTGCTTGATCAAGAATGAACTTAGGCATATGTATGTATAAAATGATCATAAGTTTTTTTTTTGCTTATTCAATTCGAGTATCTGATAATATTCTTGAATTCGAAAACTTATTTGAAAATAAAATTAAATACAACAAACAAAAATGATTTGAATATTTTTTAGTTCTAATTTCCTCAATAGTATAGTATAATTAGTTTCATATACAAAATGATTATTTCAATTACGAGATTTCTGATCTTATCATTATAATTTCATATCATTCTTTCTTTTTTTCATTGTTTTTCTCACGTTTTTAAAGTAGTTTTACTTATTAATCTATATATTTTTCATTAAACATGATCATTAAAAATATAGCAGGAAACTATTTTTTCAACTTCCTACAGAAGTCATCAGAAACTTTTTACATAATATTCAAAGCTATTATTGAAAAACGGAATTATGAGTGACATTGCCAAAAATCTGTTTCAATCAACTCGTTGGCTGAATATTATTATTGGTATACCCTTGTTTACATTTGGTATTATTGGTAATATTTTAACAATATGCATATTTAGTCGAGCTAAATTTCGTAATACATCTTCTGTTCGTTATTTAATAGCTAGTTCAGTAGCTAATTTGATTCAACTTGCACAAACACTTTTACCACGTATACTTAGTGATGGATTTGGAATTGCACTTATTAAATCAAATAATGATTATTGTAGAACTCGTAATTATATAGCAGCTGTAGCAACATTATGTTCTTTATCTTTTCCATGTTGGGCATCATTGAATAATTTTTTTGGTACATCACGAAATGCTGTCACACGAAAATATTGGACATCAAAACGATTTGTTCATCTTTCAATATTTGCTACAATTTTATTCTGGCTTATTGTTCAATTACCAACACTTATCTTCACTCGAGCTCGTGGAGAATCTTGTACGTCAACTAGTAGTATTAGTAATTATATTTATGTATATGGTATTACTCCAATAGCATATAGTATATTACCTATGACAACAGTAATTTATTTTAATATTGGTATTATACGAAATTTACGACAATCAAGAGTTATTGGTTTTGTTCATATAAATAATCATTTAGCAAGACAAGTTCGACGAATGTTAATACCTCAATTAATTATTCTTGTTCTATCAGGAATACCATATAGTATTCAAACAATTTATTCAGTAGCAACAGCATTACAAAAAAAATCTTATCTTCAAATGGCAATTGAAAGTGTTATTCTTACTATAGTACGACTTTTATTTTATTTAAATTATGTATGTTCATTTTATATTTATTATATTATGTCAAGTGAAATTCGACGAGAATTTAAAAAATTAATTTGCCAACAAAATACAATCGTACCAGAACGAACAATAGCTTAAGTTCTAAATATTGTTTAAAACAAAAAACGTTCTTCTTAGTTGTCGTAGTTACTTTTTAAAATGTAACAAAATATGAAAACAATCATATTTAAAATAAAATACTTATATATCATTTTTTTCTTTCTTTTAAGCAACATTTTAATTCATTAAAAGAATATTTTAAATTTTATTTAGATATATATTAATCAAAGTTTTAGCAGCTTTCACTATAGGTCCTAGCAATGAGAATAAAAGTCAATGATAATTAAATACGTTTCCATAAGCACTCACAAAGTTCGTTAACAGTGGAGAAAAGCGCTGAACGGTATTGACAATAAGATTTAGATTGTTCTAGAAAATTCATTTATTCCAAACTTTAAAATGTATTTCATTATGAATACTAAATTATCTGCTAGCTAATATGAAATGTGTGAACTGTTAGTTTTTAATATTAAAAAAAGGCTGCGCTAACAAGCTTATTTTGCTTTTGTGCAGATAAAAATTTCTATTCAGAATGTCACGGATAATGGCTAGTGATGAATAGATTTGCCCGCAATCATCATGTGATCAACTTATAATAATCAATATTAGCGCTTCTGGGTTTATTCAGATAAATAATACAGTATTGAGAACTTCTATGGATATGTACAACAGACTTATTTGTCTATTAAATCAATGATAAAAAAAAAAATTATACTTTGCTAAACATTTTTTACTTAACATATTTTTATTTTGTACGGAGAAAAGTCCTCACTCGATGCAAGTCGTTTTTTGCTGATATTTCTCCACGTACTGGAGCAATCTTATTCTATGAAAAAATCTATGAGGATTTGAACCGATGTGAATATTTTCACTCTTGTATTAAGAGAGCAATCATATTAATTAAACTATCAAGAAAATCGCACTCTAACAGAATCAGAACATTTCTTTTTTGTAGTGGAACTTTTAAAATATATTAAGAATGGCCAGACTTCTCTGCTCATAAAATTTCAGAATGAAATTCTTGGATCAAATTTTTTCCGAAAAAAAAACTGACTTATATAGACTTGAACTTTATTAAAAGAGTTGTAAATTTTGATTAGAAGGTTATGAACAGGTATTCTTTTAGAATTTTTTTAAATCTCATTTGTATCTACATCTATTCATATACAAGGATAAACACAGTAGATAATTCAAAGGCTTTCGCATTTTATTGATCTTTACAATTTCTCGTATTGATTTTATTTTAAACTAATTATAGATACTATGGTATAAATATTGTTATTTTTCCTTAAATCGATAAAGTATTCTATTTATCAGGACTATAAACATCCACAACCTTGAACAAACCGAATATTATCTCGTGATAAAACTTTTTTATTGCTAAAAGTGAATTACCACAGGATGAATAATATATGATGAATGATGTTTTACGATATTACTAAAAATGAAAAACATGACATTAGTTTTGCAACATTTGGAACATATTTTCTATATTACAAATGATTTCTTGATGATTTAATCAATTTCTTAATAGTTAATCAAATATTATTATAAAAAGTAAATAATGTCTAACGAGTAAAATATGTTAAAATAAAACACAATGTAATTTTCATGACATTTAGATTAAAAAATGATTTTAATTTCCTTTATATTAATCCTTTGTCCTACAGTTGATTACTGAAGCGGTAATTTGTAGAACGATTGCAGTAAATTAAATGAAGCATGACAATAAGAACATTTTACTAAAAAGTCAAAACAAAATGTTCTCTATCTATACTCAATAAACATATTTCAGTCTTTCTTTATGATATAAATCAATGAAGAAGCTTACTTGTAAGTTTGATATATTTCAAAAACTTCATAATAATTCGGTGAATTACATCTACAAAAGTATACAATAGATCATGGAGCCATTATTGAGCAATCAAGAATAAAATTAATATACGCATTGTAAAGTTCAACTCATGAGAATTTAAAATAGTATTTATTATGAATTAAATGCTTTCAAAGGTCATAAAACGGCTCAAAGTAAAGTAGATGTTGATTCAACAAGATGTATGTCATGTCGCATCTATTCTTTTAACATTAGTTTTTACCGGTTTACTTCTTCCTCTTTTTTTCTATTATTACAATAACGTAGGGCTAATGTTGCTTTCGCCTACTCAATAATATGGTCAAATCAAAAAAGTCAAAGTTTAATATGCCATTAAATAACCTTACTCTACTCAAGTGATTATTGACCAATCAAACGATCGTACATAAAGAGATGAATATTCAACAACTCAGCCTAATACTCTATTTATAAAGTTCAAATTTAATACAAACAAAAAATTTAAAACTCTACTCTTTATTATAGATTAAATAAAATGTTTGTTCTCTTTTTTTTTGTTTGTTAATTCTATTCATAATAAAGACATTTATTAAAATGTTAAAATCTGAAGATAAATAAATAGGCGTGTCCTATTACCATTAACTTTTATTAATGTTAATGCTTTAGGAATTAATATTAAAACTAAACCTTGACGCTTTGATATCATTTACATTAGAATTACTTTGGTACCAAACTGTTAGTATTAAATTAATATTATTTTTAATTCTAATACATATATTATCGATGACACAATCTCAGACTCTCTAACCTTACAAGTCCCCATAACTAAACAACTTTGTTCTATTTTATGAATGATGCTTTCGGGTGTACATAAGCCTGCTTTGGTGTAGAATTCACATATCCGAGTATAAAAAACATTTGTTCTCATTTTACGAATGATGCTTTCAGATATAATAAAAAAAATCTTTGTACTATTATTGAAACACTTTCGAAGATGAACTCTTAGAGATATAATTATTGATAGAATATGTATTTGAATTAAAAATCATGCTAATTCTATGCTAACAGATTAGTTGCAAATCATAGTTAAGCATTAAGGTTAATTTTAATATCATATAGTTATTAATAAAAGAATAATTCTAAATTTTCACTTAATTTCTTGATCTTCATTTTTATAATATTTTTTCGAATATTCTATCACACATTGCATATTTATCATAAGACACCAAAAATCTATAGTTCAAAAGTAACGATCAACTTTTTTTTCTCCACTGTCTTGATATAGTTTCACCATTGTAAAACCTTTATGCATACGCTTAAGCCTAATAACATAATTTGAATATTTCAAATTTATTTCATTCAATGAACTGTCACGTTCAAAAATTATAAGACATCTAACCTTTAATAATCAAATGAAGAATGATTCAATGATTTCTTTAATTTAATACGAGATTGAAATAAAACTGAAAAATAATCCAAATCTCATGAATTTTTAACCTTTTCGCTGGTCTTTAACATGTAATTTAAAAGCGTTGCTAAAATTCTCCTATTTCAAGTTTCTACTGCAGGACAAAAAACTATTGTATCATGTGATTCCGTACATAAGAAGATTTTTCTTTATTTATGTAACAACGATTCAAATGCTTTGAGTACATACCTAAATATCACAAGTTTGATTATTTATGCAAAGTCGACTTGTAAATTTTTTATGAAAGCTTAATTAATATACATTTATAAGAGTACCTACAGAAGTCATTTTTATCTTTGAATGATAAAGTATTTATTTATGATGTATGATTAGATACACTTGAAGTTCACTTTTATAAAGAAATTTCGATAGATTTGAAATTCATATGATATTTTTTATTGAACTTTTATTAATATTAGAGAACATCAAAGAAAAAAAAAATATTTGAGATCAGTAATTTTAATTAAATTTTTTTGGGTTTTCGATTAAAATCAGCTGCATGAAATGCAAGATTTTCCCAATAGATTCTTTTCATACGTTGTTTTTCATGTGGAATATTTTGATCAGATGAGATGAACAACGATGGATTATCAATTGTTGAAACTAAAAATCGATTTTGATATTGTCGTATTGGCCAACGAACTAACATATAAAATACAAGAATAAACTTTCAAAAAACCAAAAAAAAGAGGAGACTTTCTTCTTTTAAATACATACATAAATAAGTAGCAGCTACTGAATGTGGCATAAACATTCTTTGATTATTATTATCGTATTCCATCTCTTGTTGGTCAGTATATATCATAGGTAGGAAACAAAATGCAAGTAGAAGAAAAGCATACATGATTAGTGTTTTAGACAATGTCAACTTTTAAATATCTGAAAAAGAAATATAATGATATTTATATAAAATAATTCGACAAGGTCAATATAAAGAGAAAAAGAAGAAAGAAAATTATTATACTTGTTGACATATGATAGTTTAATAAGTTTTATACATCATAGAAAATGATGATAAAAAAGAAACATTATCTGAAAATATAAACCACAATACTGTTTATGTTAAAACAGGAACATCCTACATCCGATTACATTTTTAATATATAATAATTTCTTGCCATTTGATGACAAAAAAAAAGAGAATTTTTTTCTTGGAAAACATCATGTTTCATTTTTGACTTTTCCGTTGATATTCTTAACCAATACAATTATTATTATAGTCTTTCATAAATACATTTGAAATGAAAAAAAGAAAACAATATAGATTACCGTAATTGAAATAATGGTTTCATGCAAAACATAGCAGAAATTCAAAGCACATTATCAACTTAGTGGTATACATAAAAATATATAAATGTATGTAGATCGACAAATGATATAAATCGAAAGAAAAAAAGTAAGCAACTTTTTTTTCTATCTAACATATTTTTTGCGCTCATGTAACAATTATATTTATGTTATGAGGCAATAATATCAAGCGTAATCATCATGATTTTATGATACACAGAAAAACTTCATTAATTTCTCGATAAATATTCAATGAATTAAGTAATCATACTATAGCTACAAGACAAAGTAATTTAGTCTAAACCAATTGTTATCTAGTGACCTCTATTATGTCAAAATCATTTCCATTTGAATTCAATAAAAAAACAATTATACTTTGTTAATTCAATAAAAAATAATTTTTTTTCGAATAAAATTATAAAAATCTAAATTTATTGGTAATATAATTGTCAATTTCTCTATTGATCTTTACAATTGATACAGTAATGTAATAAATCGAATTTATTTCTCACTTCGTTCAAGGTCATTTTCGTTTTTTTATCATGGATTATCTTCAACCGACAAGTCGAAGTTTTTCAAATGTAAATTCAAAAGACAAAAAAAAACAAAGAACAATCTTTTTCATTTATTCATTGATTTTCTTTTTCTATCTTTCAGCGTCAAAGTCGTTCAATAAATGATGCAGATAGTTTTGATACTGATCGTTTAAGTGGTTCATTACAATATGATGATGATCAACAAGATCCAACGATAAATAATGATATACCTCAACCAATTATGGAATATGAAATAATAAGAAGAGATGATAAAAAAACCAAGAAAAAAGAAGTCAAATAAAATATTTTCATGTCCATTATTTATCTATTATATGTTTATCTTATTATTAGGAAACTGATCAAAAACGAATACAACGTCAAAGAGAAAAAGACGAAAAAAAAACACGTCAAAACGAAGAAAAAGAACGTAAAAAAAGTCAAAGTCGAACAAGAACTTCAAATGAACAAGATATAAATCGATCAGTAAATAATAGATCAAAAGCATGTATTGTTATGTTAGATGATACTGAACAATATGTTGATTTAAAAGTAAACAGAATATATATGGTTTCTTTTTTAAAATATTATTTATTAAATGTTCTATTTAATAGAAAGAAGATACAGGTAAACTATTTTATGGACGTGTATGTGAATTAATAAATCTTGAAGAAAAAGATTATTTTGGATTAACATTTATAAATAATGAAAATACTCGAGTTAGTTTTATAAATTTTTGAAAAAGAAAAAAAAACACTTTTAATTTCTAAATATTTAGGCATGGTTAGATAATGATAAACGTGTATTAAGTCAATTAAAAGGTTAGAAAATATTTCCACTTTCAAAAAAAAATCATTTTGTGTATTTTAGGTGTTGATCCTGTTTTTTATTTTCAAGTAAAATTTTATCCACCTGAACCTGCTTTACTTCAAGATGATCTTACTCGGTTAGTAGAGCGCAACTTTAAACAACAAATATATGAATTCTAAAATAGTTCACTCTCCCAGGCACACGAAAAAAAAAACGATATAAATCGGCTTCATTTTCCGAAAGATCATGAAATGGTGAAAACAGTACGAGAAATGATGACTGTTTGATAGTAAAAAAAAAGAATCGACTGATGGATTACACGGATCTTCGGTTTTCGATGATCGACTTGGACTCGATTTATTTGTCATCAATAGTTTCAGAAGGATGTACCAGAAACTAGAATAAAGGTGAGAGCGAAAACACACAAATATGAATAGAAATCCTAGTCGATCGATATAGAACCATAATAATAAGACGAATGAAAGAATGACTGTATCGTGTGGTTTAGGAGATACTGCTCTAGTGATAGATTCATTAGTCCGATATCTTCGTAGCTCTGAACACGAGATCGATTTAACGCACAGTTCTTGCGCTCAACTACTTGAGCACCCTCTAAATATTAACTAACCATATACTAGCCACAAAATCACAGCGTGATCAGCATGCTATTGAATGGGTAATCTGAAACAAAATAGTCGTTAGCCAGTAGTTATTCAAGATCATTCCATGGTTAATGATACTTAGGTTTGAACATAGTACTTGGCAGATATATGTCGAATAGCACGCAGACATTCTGTCATGGCGGTGTTTTATAAATTCTAATAGATATTGAGGTAAGAAATATATGTTTTGAATTCATTTACGTCATGAACAAATATTTAGAAATTCGTTTAGTAGCTTTTAAATCCATTCTTTTTCTAGGTATATTATGACTCCAGTAAAATTATTTATTCTGCAATATAAAATTTTTTATCATACAAAAACAAGAGAAATAACGATAGTAGTTATTCTAATATTCTAACTGATAATTCATTGATTAATTTTCTTAAAATCAAAATTTATCATTTATTATTGTTACAAAGTTTACTCATGACTTGACCATAAACGGCGGATGTACCATAACCTACAGCCGTGAAAAATCTTTGTTCTTTATCAGTAGAGCTGAAAATTGTTTTTTTTCTAATATTCTATTAAAAGAATGACATTCTTCTTTTTTATAAAAAAAAGTCATGATATATCATTTGAATTTTGATTGCTTCGAGAAAAACTTGTTTCAATTTAATTACAATCCATTCGATGATTGAACTTTTCAAAAAGAAAAAAAATCATCGTAGGCACCACACCATCTACTTCAATGTCATAACGTTCATTTTTTATCACAAACGAAAAAAAAAGCCTTTATTAAATCGTATGTCTTAAGATCAATAATTGCATGTTTGAATAGAGGCAAAAAAAAAAGGCAGAATAATTTTGACAGATATAATAAACATTTATTTTATCCTGCATGGTTATTACATACATTTGAGATCTATTAATGGCAGTTTCTTTTTATAAGAGAGTAAAATAAAGAATATATTTGTTGTTAAATGATTAGTTCACTGTAGAATGACCTATATATATTTCAAGTATACTTAAGTATATGTTATAATTGATTTGTACAGTAGAACATCTTTAGAATTGAGTTTTCTTTTTCTCTATGAGAAAGAAACAGTTAATGTCAAGGCTTAATTTAGAAAATGAAAGAATACTAATTTTATCAATTATTATAATTAATAGAAGGTACCTCAAATTATATTTTATAATCATTATTTTAAAAAGTCTTAGTTTTCTTTTTATTCGAATTCTTTGAATAGATATCAAATATGTCTTCAATTACGAAATGATATTCTTTCTGGCAAGTATGTCATTAAAAAAAATTTACTAATTATAAATTTTCTAAAAATAATTTTTGATTTGTTTTTTTCTGCTTTATTAATTTAAGATTACCATGTTCATTTGTTACTTATGCTCTATTGGGTTCATATACAGCTCAAGCTGAATTAGGAGATTATAATGAATATGAACAAGGACCATCATATCATTATTTAAGAGATATTAAATTTGCGCCTGTACAAGATGATGAATTATTACGTCGTATACATGAACAACATAGACGACATAAGTATGTTTTATTTTATATTTTTATTTGAATATATATATATATATTTGTTTTTGTGATTCATAGAGGTCAACCACCAAATGCAGCTGATTTACATTTTCTTGAGAATGCAAAAAAATTAGCTATGTATGGTGTTGATTTACATCCAGCACAAGTAGACATAGACAATCATCTTTTGATTTTAAGAGATTATTTAATAAAAATATTTTATAGGATTCAGAGAATGTTGATATTAATATTGGTGTATCAGCTAATGGTTTATTAGTCTATCGAGATAAATTACGTATAAATCGTTTTGCGTGGCCAAAAATATTAAAAATTTCATATAGAAAAAGATATTTTTATATAAAACTTCGTCCAAGTGAAGTTTGTATTCTTTTATACAGAAAATTTATTTATATGAAATTAAATCTTTGTCTTTTCTTTTTTAAAGTTTGATCAATATGAAAGTACAATAGGTTTTAAACTACCAACATATCGTGCAGCAAAATCCTTATGGAAAATAGCTGTTGAACATCATGCATTTTTTCGGTAAATAATTATGACTTTGTAAAGAAACAAATAATTTGTTTTTTAAGTCTTCGTCGACCAGAAGAACTTCGCAAACGACCAATTATACCAAGATTTAATTCAACATTTCGTTATACAGGAACATATACATATCATCAAGCTCGACAATTATTACTTGATAGACCTAATCCTGATTTTGAAAGAACAATAAATAAACGAATGACAAAAAGTCTTGATGCTTGTAAGTCCTTAATTCAATGATTTGTTCTTTTTTTCTGTAAATAATTTCTATTTATATAGTAAACAATAATAATTCAGGTGAAATCTCTTTTGAACATTTTTTGTTTCCTCTTGCTTATTGCACTCACTTTTTGGGAATTATTTTTACGAGAAAACAAAAAATTATTTGTTGTTTGTTTTTAGGTAGTGGGGAATTAAATCGTCCAACTAAACCAGCTATTCAACGACCATTGCCACGTCCTC